ATCACAGCTGAATACGGTTAAACTAGATTCATCATTTCATTTGTTTCTGATTGCTCTATAATGTTTACATATCTAACATATTAGTATAAATCTTGGAGGGAGTAGATTGAGGTTAAGTCCTCCCACATGACTCTTTTTTCAATCTTACCATAAGCATTGAACCTTCACAACAGTTGAAATATTCCAAACCAAGAGAGAAATATGTCCCTGGTTAATTCAGTGGTTTAAAATGGATTACAAATGAAGAACAGACAACCGCAGAAACTCCAGTGTTTTTCTTCAGATGTCTGAGGACGCTGTCATTCCGGTCAAAATAATGATCAGAAGAGATGGAGAGATTTTTTAGATTTTTATCTTATATAGCTGCCATCTCATGTAGTAATTCTGGGAGATATATATGTAGCAACGTTTCAGCAGAATCTCATCTGCCATCACCAGGCTTCTGTATTGAATTTGTCTATGAGTCAGACTTTTACAGTTGTTTCAGTTTTAAATTTGGGGCTAGCCTACTGCTGTGCCAGAATGTTTTTTTCTTCATCCTGATTGGTTGGGAGTCTTGGTCTGTGTTCATTGGTCTTGGAGTTTGCTGTGTTCTGCTTGATTGGTGTTTCTAATATCTTCTGTCTGTTTTGTGGCTTTTTTTGTCTTGGTTGGCTGGCAACATTGTGTTCCTGTATTGGAGGCTTTTAGTGCAGCTTGGCTCCGAGTAAACGGACGGCTATCATTTGTTAGGAAGCTAGGTTTCATCTGGGTGCCTGGTTGGGGTGTGTTTGAGCTGGAGGTATCGGGGGGATCTGTTTGTGCCCAGGTGTTTGCCTGGCTTGTGGTGTGGAGATTTTTTTGTTTGTGAGTGCAGGCTTCCAAATGATTGACAGTCATCTCTTGGAATGATTCGAATCATCTCTTCTATTCATGCTCTCAGGTCTTTTTTCAATCTCTTTGGCTTCTCTGATAATTCTGTGGCTGGGGTTTTCTACAGTGGCTAGGGTTTTGGTGCCATTGAAGTTGATGCTATGACCTGTGGCTTTCATGTGTTGGACTAGTGAGGAAGTGTGTTCCAGCTTTTTTACTGCATTTTTGTGTTCATCCAGGCGGGTACTTATTCTTCTATTGGTCTGTCCAATGTATGTGGCCGGGCATGATGCATGTAAGGTGATTCTTTGTAGGAATAGACAATATGATTATCCTAATACAGTGGAACCTTGGGTCGCTAATGCTTCTGTCCATGACCAAATCAGGTGACGACCAAAATTTTCAGAAAAGTTTTGCTTCTGGTTGGGAACACATCTTCAGGTGGTGACTAATCACAGCTGTGGTGATTTTCCCTGCCGCAGTGATTTCCCCTTTGGTGCCATTTTTTTTGTCCGTGCATGCACAGTCAATTGTGCTTCCTCTCAGGACCAAATCTGGTTGCGACCGAAGTCCTGGAATGGATTACGGTCGCAACCCAAGGTTCTTCTGTAATAAATAATAAAACTCAAACCTACTTTCTTGCATTTATACTGTGCACTCTCGTGTTCCCTACACTAAAATCAGGATGCAGAAAGATCAATAGCATGGTATCAGTATTACTGATTATAATAGTATCAATAGTGAAGATTAAAGGTATGGAAAAAAATTAGGTGAACTTTTCTGTCATATGTCAAATAGACTATTTGTATAGTTTCTATGTTTTTCCTTATGAAAATCCTCATATTTCCCAAAATGTTGTATTGATCAATTATTTTATCACTGTATTCTCTGAACTCACAACTTTATAATATCCTTCCCTGACTAAAGAAATTAAATATTGCAAATGATAAGTTCATGTACCTCATGGACCAGTTACCTCCAAGTTTGAGGTAGCATATAAGTGCATTTTAAATGTGACTCAGAAATTGCACTCGTACAATTCAACAGTAAGGTTATTATCCAGAACTCCTTTCAGATTTAACATAGCATCTGTCCTAAAAGAACTGCATTGCCTACCTATGCACTACCAATCATACTTTTAAAAAATCTCAGAATGGCTGAGTCCCTTATTATTTCAGAACCATGAAACTTGAGCATAAATCTTTCTCAATATGAGCTTACTCCAATATTAAGGTTTACAGGGAAAAAAAATCTTTTAAATGACCATTCACTATCAGAGATGTGTTTTCTATTGTGGCCACTACTGGAAGTCAGGATGGTACTGATATCTATCAATACTAGAGGAAGAACTTAATTCTCACATTCAAAGCTTAGTCATGGTTATACAATGTTTTTTGCTTAATAATGCCTCTTGTTGTTGTACTTATAATTGTGCATTTAAAAAAAATGTTTTAGTTACATTATTACCTATTGAGTTGGTTTTACTGCTTAATGTTTTTTTTATGGTCTATATTTTATCATGAGGTCTTCAGAATAGTGGATAGGCTATAAATATTTAAAATAAAATTGAGCTTTATGCCTGTCCCTGAGGAAGGTATCTGGCTGTCAGGAAATCTTATATAGTTCCCACCAATTTCATTGTATGTTCTTTTTTTGATTCTGGATTGCATTGAAAGTGATTTTGCCATATTGAATGAGATGACAAAATACTGAATAAAAATCATAATATTTACAGTGCAGATAACATTTAATACATTTAATGATGTGGAAATATTTCCAAATACCGTTTAGTTATTTGTTACGCTAATTTACAAAGGTATATCATACTCAACAAAAACACTTTCAAGAGCCTGCCAACCCAAGACATTTTAAAATGCTACAAAATGTGTGATTCTTAAAATTAAATTTGGATTAATAATCAGGCTGGTTCGGCATTTAACTCAAAAGGTATTTCAAAAGATGGAATTACTGAAAGTAAAATGGAAAGAGCAGCTCAAATGCACTTAAACATGCCACAAAATATGCCATTGTGCTTCAGTTCCTCAGTGTACATGTTGTAAATTAGATATGGCCTGGTTTAGTATTTCAGCATTCATTCACCTGGCAGATTTGGATTTACAACTTTGGGAAAAGATTCTGCTACTTTAAATAGTTGTCGTAGGTGCTATTTTCATGCGTCTACATGTGGCTCAATCTATGGTATGTTTTATTGCTGTTTTTTATGCATGCTTTTAGATTCGTAGAATTTGAAATGTTCACAGCCCTTATATTTAATAGCTATTCATCCCTTTCTGCTTGGACCTCCCTTCTATGGAAGCCATTACTAATTGTGAGAATGGTAAATCTGCAGAATATATTTGCATGTAAAACCCTGGAGAAATCTATTGGAAAGAAGAAGTGGCCCTCTGCCAAATTCCAGGATTTTTAAAAGATCCCAGTAGAGTTCTGGCAGAAGGAAAAGAAAATCCTTGTACAGAGGAAAAGCTCCACACCCATTGTCTATGCTCAAGATGTACTAATGTGCAAATCTTAATTGCTCTGCAGATTTGTTGATAGTTTTTTGGAATGCATTCAAATGGTATTTCAGGAGTAAGATGATATGAACATCTGAGTGGGTAAGTGGAGATCAGCTAGTGACAGAAATACCCTGGTAAATTATTGTGGGTATTTTGTAAAATACCAAGCTGGGGTGCAGATATTCAAAACCTGATGGTGTCCCAGCAGAACCAATTGTAGTCTTTTAATTTAACTTTCCTTTTGAGGATTGGCAGACTCAGGTAGCTTTGGGAACAATGAACCAATCATTTATGGAAGATGGCAAATAATGAGTTAGGTCATAAAATATTTAGACCTTCCTGGAGTTGTTCAGAAAAATAAATTTTGGAAGTTTTTGTGTTTATGTTCAGAGTTCCAGATAGTAAAAAGGAATTTATTTTTTATTCCACCTTCAGGTCACGTAATCTGGAAGTGTTGCAAATTGTACTTTTCCAGAGCTAGATTAAAAACAACTGCAAGTGACCAATAATTTTGGCACAATTCTAAAATAAGGTGGCCAGTTATCATTGTGTGCTTTGCTTATTCATTTTTTGCATATTGTAAAAGAGGATTTGCAGTTGTCTCATTAATAATTGGGTGTCAAGTAACCTGTAAAAACTTGAAATATAGCTTCTTTGATTCATACCTTATTTCCATTTATACTTTGTCCTTGCGCTAGTTATTGTCAGAACAGTGGTGGGATTCAATTTTTTTTACTACCGGTTCTGTGGGGGTGGCTTGGTGGACGTGGCAGGGGAAGGATACTGTAAAATTTCCAGTCAGAAGGTGGTATTTGCTGATTCTCTGAACTACTCAAAATTTCCACTACCGGTTCTCCAGAACTGTTCAGAACCTGCTGAATACCACCTCTGTGTCAGAACATCACACACACACACACACACACATACACACACAAAGGTTCTTTGAGAAAAAATGGGAAAATTTTATTTGTTGTATTGACAGAGAGAATATGAGATAAGAAATGTCCATAAAGTGTACACATGATGGTGCAGATGTATGTGTGCAAATTTAGAAGTAATCATAATCTCAAATATAAGTGCAGTAGATTTTAATTCAGTTAGGAATAATATTCCTTGATGATTGATCATGGTTAATACTTGAAAGACAACTCCAAAACCCCTGCTTTCTTTTCCTAAATAGGAAAGAATAGGAATATTCTTTACTGGCCAAGTTTGATTGGGTACAACGGAATTTGTCTTCTTAAAGATAAATGTTTTTATCTTTAAATTGCCTGATGATCTCAACAGTTGATCAAATTGAGCTATATAGTTTGGAAATATGGCCACAATGTTGCCATACCTGCATTTGCTGTCAATACTGAAATCTTTCAAATCTCTGACAGTTGTTACTGAAAAGATGCTGCAGTCTCAAGAACGATTATGTGCATTTTAGAGCAATTTCTCACATTTCTGTCTTGCTTCTATCTTGCTTCTCTTTCTTTGCCACTAGTTTCCCTTTGGCGTCTTTGCTTCAAGCAAGGAATTACCTGTATGGCTCTCATACTTTTACAAGCTTCTACCCATAAACCTGCAACTTTGTAATGCTTGAACTCTTGCATAGTTTGCATAATTAAATTTACATTTTCTTTTCAGGTTAGCAAGTCCCCTATATTTGTCTCTGGTGTTTGGGGACCCTATTATTCAGCAATGGTTCCAGGATTGTGGCTAAATGAAGGAGGCCAAAGTGTAACAGGGAAACTGGTAGGTCTAATTTTTAGTTCCATTTATCTTTTTAGTTATATTTAAGCTACATCATTATCTTCACATTTGTTAATTGAAAACATGCAATAGATGATATTGTATAATAATGGTTAGAATTATAAACTTATGTGACAGTTCAAACTTTGAAATAATTTTAGTATCTACAGCAAATCCATAGTAAATTTCCCTACTGTAAATCATGGAAGAGAGGGTGATAACTGTATTCATCCCTCATGTGCCATAGGAAGCAGATTTGCCTTATTGATGGTGTCATGAAATAGATTTTAGCTCTGGACTGAATTCTATTTGCAAAAGAAAGATAAAAAAGAAACTACTCTCCTATTGTATCTTCTTAATATAGACACATAATTATTTATTACCTTATTTTTGTATACTGTCTTTCACATCCTGCTGATACATTTTTCAAGTAAATGAATACATTCATTAGCAAAGTTAGTTTCTTTGCTGTGGATCATACATATGAACTAATATTGGGTGACTTAGCATTGAATAGAATAGAATAGAATAGAATTCTTTATTGGCCAAGTGTGGTTGGACAAACAAGGAATTTGTCTTGGTGCAAATACTCCCTGTATACATAAAAGAAAAGATACATTCAAGATAATAGGTATAAGTATATACATAGTTATGAATACATGAAATGGGTACATATAAGAAAAATAAACAATAGGACAGGGACGGTAGGCACGTTGGTGCGCTTATGCATGCCCCCTGCAGACCTCTTAGGAAAGGGGTGAGGTCAATAGTAGACAGTCTAAGGTTAAAGTTTTTGGGGTTTGGGGAAGAAACCACAGGTAGAGTATTCCAGACATTGACCATTCTGTTGCTGAAGTCGTATTTCTTGCAATCAAGTTTGGTGCGGTTAACCTTGAGTTTGTATCTGTTGTGTGCTCTTGCGTTGTTATGGTTGAAGCTGAAGTATTCATTGACAGGTAAGTCATTGCAATATATGGTTTTATATACCATACTTTGATCAGACCGAAGACGGCGTAATTCAAGGTTTTCTAGGTCTAGAATATCAAGTCTGGTGGCATAAGGTATTCTACAACGAGTAGAGGAGTGAAGAACTCTTCTTGTGAAATATTTCTGGACTTTCTCAACTGTGCTAATATCAGATACGTAATGTGGGTTCCAGACTGATGAGCTGTATTCGAGTATTGGTCTAGCAAATGTTTTGTATGCTCTAGTTAGCAGTGTGATATTACCAGAGAAAAAGCTACATAGGATTAGGTTAACAACTCTTAATGCCTTTTTGGCTATGTAGTTACAGTGGGCTCTAGCACTTAGATCATTAGAGATGAGAATTCCAAGGTCCTTTACAGAGCTTGGATCATCAACAAGATCTTCACTATTCAGCTTGTATTGTATTTTCTGATTTATTTTTTTTTGCCAATATGTAGACAGAGCAATTATTTGTTGAGATCTCAAGTTGCCATTTGTTTGATACATAGTCAAGATCTTTTTGAAGGGTAGCAGTATTGTCTGTGGTATTGAACAGCTTTACATCATCAGCGAAAAGAACGCAGTTGCTCTTAATATGATCACAGAGGTCATTTACGTAGAGTATGAAGAGAGTTGGTCCTAGAACACTGCCTTAGGGGACACCACTATTGACAGGTACAGAATTTGATAGGACGCTCCCAATTTTGACCATTTGTTGTCTGTTTGACAGAAATGCTTCTATCCAGTTATGCAGTTGTCCAGAGATACCATAAGATTTTAGTTTTAGGAATAGTTTGTCATGTACCACTGAATCAAAGGCTTTACAGAAGTCTATGTAGATTGCATCTATTGTTTTGCCCTGATCGAGTTGCGTAGTCCATATGTTTTTGCAGTGTAAGAGTTGCAGATTACAGGATAGTTCCTGAAACCAAAATGTTTATTGGAGAGTAGGTTGTCTCTAAGTGGAGGATATTGGATTGGTTAATAATTGATTCCATGACTTTACAGGTGACGCAGCATAAGGAGATTGGTCTGTAATTTTCAACTAGGCTGGGGTCTCCCTTTTTGAAGGTGGGGATGACCATGGCTTGTGACCATAGGTTAGGCAAGGAGCTGGTCCTGAAAGATTTTTCAAAGATTATGCTCAGAGGTTCGGCTATGGCAGTGGATAGCTTTTTTAAGAAGTAGCACATATTCCATCCGGTCCAATAGATAGAGATGGTTTTAGATTGCATAGTGCTTTTTTAACATTGTCTTCTGTAAAATCAATATGTATTAGATCATTGTAGTTTTCTGTGGTTCAGCTAGGAAATACTGGGCATGATCCATTGCTGTTTACAAATACTGAGCCGAAGAATGCGTTAAAGGTATTGGCTTTAATGGTGTCGTCGTTGCAGCTTTTACCATTAGGTCCTATCAGCGGTGGGATGGACCTTGAGTCTTTTAGTTTGTTGTTTACAAAATTGTAAAAAGCGCGGGTGGAATTGGTGCAGTAATTGCTGTAGTTTGAATTACCTTGTATGAAAAGATAATGTAAGGGTTAATTGTAGTAGGGCCTTGCTTTATAAATAAAATGACAAGCTACAATTATTGTAACAATTACATATTGGCAGAGCGTATAGTTGCTGAAACGAATCTGTCACCCAGGTAATCATATTTCAAAAATACTAAACTATTTTCAATCAAAAAATCAATATTTTTTTTTCATTTTCTTTTCTTTTCTTAAGCTAGAGCATATTGTCCAAGGACATGCTGCTTTCCCAGAACTACAAACAAAATCTGAAGCCAGGTCAAGTCATAAACCTTATTTCTTCTTCATTTATTATTCTGTTTAGAAATTTCTTTTTGGCTGTAATACAGGAAAACCAGTTAGCCAGAATCTCCCAGCTTCATTTGGGGTGTGGGTTGGGGCTGCTTCTCATATTTACATGTCTGTTCAAACTTCTTTATCCTCCTTATTTTAGCATACATTTTTAATACACCTGAGGAATGAGTCACATGTCTATTTCTGAGATACTGTTATCAACAGAAGTTGATTTTCTCTAGTCATGGCAGACTTGTAAAATAATTTTTGTGAATGCCTGGTTAGTTTTCAGAGGCTTAATTTCAGTGCATTTATTGTTGCAAAATTCCCATAAAAATCCCATCTTTTCATAATGGTGCCATTCTTGGTGAGATGGTTATGTCAAGAATTTAACCTTATAATGAAGCAGTTACAAAGATCTTATAATAATATAAGTAATGGAAAGTTAATTGTTTGACACTTAAAAACACTCACCCACACTCATTCATATGAGTGATGTCACAGAGTCCCTCCTTTTAAAAAAATTAAATAGAATCTTTGATTCTTTGCCACTAAATATCTCTTAATTAAATAAAAGGCATTTGGCATATTTTTGAACCATTCCATACAAATCCTCCAATTTTAACCCACTCAGCAATGATTCTTCAGTCTCTCACAATAACTTTTTTACTTAGGGAATGATAGCTCACTTTATATCTTAACAATTTCAATTTTTATAGACTAAGATATAAATCTAAACATACAAATACACACAAACTTTCCTATTTTGTAACAAATAATTTGTTCCATAAATCCCATCAACTAGCAGATATGTATTGAGGATATGTATTTAAGTTTTGAATTGAAAACTTGAAAATATTTTTAAAAGGTCCGATCTATGTAGCAGTTTTGTAAATATGAATTAGATTAGTTCAGTTAAATATGTGCTCCAAATAAAATTATTTCCACCCAGTGCAAAGGCTACTGCTCTAGAGAGAAGACCAAGTGGAAATAAGGAAAGAAAAGAGATATTACCTCATACCGGCATGTTAACCATTATGCAGGTTTTTAGGAAGGGGAGTTTAAGGAATAGAGCAGACTTCTTAAAATATGAGTTAGAGAGAATAGTTATGTTTGATGATTATTATCTCTTCAATTTCCAGTTTTGACATCAGGATCTTTGTTTCCTACCACACTGAAAATAAATTGATCCTCTCCTATAATATAAAAAAATCAGTTTATTCTTAATTAAGTTGTGATTTTGTAAAGCTGGACAGAGATGAATTCTGATTAAAAGATTTATACAATGTTACATAGGCCCCAAGCTAAAATGTAGGAGACTGTGAATTCTAGTCTAATTAGGTACAAAGGCAGCTGGGTGACCTTGGACCAGTTATATTCTATCAGACCTGGAAAGAAGACAATGGCAAATGGGGTTGGCCATTTAATAAAGATGCCATGTGAAAGTGAGGTGATGTTTCATTGATTTTACTACTTTAAGGATTTTATGTTTCTTTTGTTGTAAATGCTTGCCAGTCTTTGTAGAATCAGTGGTGGCATTTAAATATGACACATTTGTTTATATATTCTGAACATCGGGTAATTAGGTTAAATAGAATCATAAAGATAAATACATGAGATTTTAATACCTTTTAAAGCATTGAAGCACCAGGCCTCAATAGATCCAGGCAATCTCCAGATAAAATAGTATTAGAATAAGGACTTTGTTTGGACAAGCTATATGGACAACTGGTTCTTATGGCCACACACCATCCTTGTTTCTTTATTTTTGTAGTATTTAAATAGAATTGTGAGCTACACACACAAAGTCATTTCAGAGGGTCATACTGTACTTCTGTTTCGATTTCCCATAATAGATGTTTCATTTTTTTCAATATAATCTTAATAGGAAATCATTGTTGTATTCTACTTTCTATGTTTCCTTTTATCCTGTAATTTCTGGTGTTTTTTTCCTGGTATCCAAAATTGTACAAAAAAATAAAATAAAATTAATGTAATTTAAATAATTAATAGCTACATTAGCACAATAACTGATCAAATAAAAGCAGTCTTACACAAGCAATTCTTTGCAAATTGTGCACTTATTTTGCAACAAATGAGATTTCATTGTTTGAGCACATGTCCCCCAAAGAATTTACAGTTTTGATAATTTTCTTTAATGTATCTTTGGAAGACACAGAAGAAGTCTTTAAAAATATTATTGTGTATTTTTATGGATATATTTGCTTTGCCAATTGATGTTATGGAACATTTAATCACTGGTGTATAGCTTTATTTTAAGTTTTTTCTTTAAACAAATTTATTTATTCATCAAATTTAGAAATCACCCATCTCCCTCACAAAGATGTGTTTGCCTGCAGCTAACATAGGATTGTTTTGACTTGAGAAACGTTTCCAAAACCATTTTACAGTCTCACTCAAGTTCAAACAACTGGCTAAAGAGCCAGTTTGGTGTACTGATTAAGGCTCTAGGCCAAAAAGCAAAAGACTATGAGTTGAAATCCTGCCTTAGCCATGAAGCCAGCTGGGTAACTTTGGGCCAGTCCCTCTCTCTCAGCTCAACCCACTCACAGGGTTATTATTGGAAAGAAAATAGGGCAAATAGGTGTTGGATATGATTGCTGTTGCTTTGAGTTGTTTCTAAAAATAATAAAGCCTGAAATAAATAAATACCTTCATCCAGAAAAAGAATATTTTTGGAATACTTAATGATTGTATATTCTGTATGAATTTGTGGACTATTACAGCTCCATGACATAATTTCTTGTGAAATATATTTGAATTGTCCCATGTTCTCTGTTTGAAATCTTGTGCTATGTCACTACAGCCTGCTTTTCCGTTATCTTTCTTCTTGTCCTCTTTCATGTTTTAATGTTGGGCAACCCAGTAAGAATGAAAGTGAAATAATTCTATGAAAGAATTTTAACAACTTTCAAACAGTGACTCCCCTTCCCCCACCCCCTATACAAGACGTCACATTAATGTTTTAAAAAAACTTTAAAGTATATGAATAATGAAGTAAATTAGCTATTTTAATGTGTTCCAAGTGTACTTCATTTTGAATGATACCATCCGATAGCAAACACATGGTAAGAACCTAATTGAAACAACGTGCAGCTGAATGCTTAAATGTAGAATATAAATATACAGCTGCAAGCAGGTCAGAAGTCAGAGTAGTAAACACATGCCAAATTCCCACAGGGAACTCGTTAGTGTATGGCTGAATAGACATGCTGGGACTAAATGAATATCACTATTTAGACCTCCAGAACTGAGACATTGATTAATCAGTTATAATTAAATGGAGATGCTATTTTGGCCAATCTCTCTGCAGATGGAAAGTCCTCAATACTTTGATACAGAAGGGAAAACCAATCATAAAAATTAGAAAGCTGCACAAAAGATTTTTAGACATGTATAAAGTGGCAAGAGCAAGTTCCATTGGCATGTCAGTGCAGGCATTACAAGGCTAGTTGGCTGTTCCAGTTGATTTCAGTGAGATTTTGCATGTTTTGCTTTCTTTGGCTTTCAGCCTCTGGGTGCATACTGGAGAAAGTTAAGCACACTTAAGTTCCAATTGAAATTAATGAAATTAAACCCAATGCACATTATCTGGATAGCCTCCAAGCCTTCAGTAGATGAGGCTGTGGAATTTGCATTGTGCCTGCTAAATATCCTGACTTGCATGAGTATTTCACCATTTAATCTCACTGTTAAAGTTGTGTATATAAATCACATGTATTTATATGTGATTTCACATACAAATCACTTGTTCTTGTGTGATCTCACAAAATACACTTCTTTCTTCATGAAAGAAAATAGTTCCCCCCCCAAAAGGGAGGGGGAACAGACCTAGGAAACTACAAACCAATAAGTCTAAACATCAATACCTGGGAAGATAATGGAAAAGATCATCAAAAAACAGATCTGTGACTATCTAGAAACAAAGTTATAACTAAAAGCCAACATGTGTTTGTTCAAAACAGCTCATGCCAGACCAATCTTATTTTATTCTTTGACAAAGTAACTAAATTATTAAACCAGCAAAATGCTGTGGACGTAATATACTTAAGACTTCAGCAAGGCTTTTGACAAAGTAGATCACAACCTACTTCTTGGTATGCTAGAAAATGTGAGATAGACAGCATCACCAGCAGATGGATTTGTAACTGGCTGACAAACTGTACTCAATGAGTCCTTAACGGTACTACATCTACATGGAGGGAAGTGAGCAGTGGAATACCGCAAGGTTCCGTCTTAAGCCCAATACTCTTCAATATCTTCATAAATGACTTACATGGGGCAATAGAAGGGGAATTCGTCAAGTTTGCAGATGACACTAAGCTTGCAGGAATAGCCAATACCCCAGAAGACAAGCTCGGGATCCAAAAAGATCTGAACAGATTGGAACAATGGGTCCTTTAAAAAAAAACCCAAAATTTAATGTGGAGAAAAGAAAGGTACACTGAAGCAGGAAAAACCAAAGTTACGAGTACTGATTAGGCAAAACCCAAGACAAGGAATAATGGATGGAAACTGAACAAGGAGAGATTTAACTTGGAAATAAGGAGAAACTTTCTGACAGTGAGAACAATCAACCAATGGAACAGCTTGCCCTCGGAAGTTGTGGGAGCATCATTACTTGAGACTTTTAAGAAGTGATTGGACTGCCATTTGTCAGAAATGGTATAGGGTCTCCTGCTTGGGTGGGGGATTGGACCACTAGAATGACCTATAAGATCCCTTCTAACTCTGATTATCTGGTATCTGTTAAAACCCAGCTCAAAAATAGTTACTGTGAGAGGAACCTTGGAGTTAAAAGTTAATACAATCTTTGGTTGTATAAACAGAGGCATAGAATCAAAATCATGTGAAGTAAGTATTAATATCACTTTACAAAGCCTTAGTAAGGCCATATCTGGAATACTGCATCCAGTTTTGGTTACCACATTAGAAAAAAGATGTTGAAGCTTTGGAAAAAATGCAAAGAAGAGCAACTAAGATGATTAAATGACTGGAGACAAAAAAATGAAGAACGGTTGCAATATTTGGGTTTGTCTAGTCTAGAGAAAAGAAAGACTAGGGGGGATATGATAGCAGTATTGTATTATTTGAGAGGTTGCCACAAAGAGGAAGGGGTCAACTTATTTTCCGAAGCACCAGAAGACAGGGCAAGAAACAATTGATGGAAACTAATCAAGGAGAGAAGCAACCTGGAATTAAGAAAAAAGTTCCTAACCGTGAGGACAATGAACCAATGGAACAATTTGCCATGAAAAGTTGTGGATGCTTCATCACTGCAGGTTTTTAAGAAAAGACTGGACAGTCACTTGTCTGAAATGGTTTAGGGTCTCCTGCTTGAGCAGGGAATTGGACTAGAAGGCATGCAAAGTCTATTCTGATTGTACAAAGATAGCAGTCCTTAAACTTCTGGTAGGATACTCAGTGAACAGATGCCAATATAAAATATCATTAAGACTCAGTTAACCTGCATTTTGAGAATCTAATTCTGAACAATACTTGGTTACAGGGAACTGTATTTTAGCATTGTAGTACAGTTTGCTTTCTTGCTGATATTGAAATTATGTCCTAATTCTGCTTCAGAAGAAACCCCATATATCAAGTACAGGCAGTCCTTGACTTATGACATATTCTCTTTCCTCATTCCTTTATAGTTTCATATTGCAAGCCTTTCCTAATTTGTGTTAGGAGTCCAAATCATGCAATATGTTTAGAGAATAATCTTTCTCCCCCAGCTCAGCTCACTTCTTCTTCTTCTTTTTTTTTCATTTGTTTTTCTTGCAGAGCTCAAAGTATATATACATACTTGAATGGTCACCTGGATCTGATTAAGAAATCTTTGCCTGTGGGTTTGCTCACTGTTGATTTACATGTTTGGCCAGATTTCCATGGCAACCGATCTCCCCTTGCAGATTTGACTCTAAAGGGCATGGTAAGAAACAGCCTGTTGTTGTAAAAGGGTGAAAAACAAAATAAATGTAAGAACATGAAATTAGTATTTTTATTTTTTTAATCATTTTTATTTGAAAATTTTACAGAATGGTTTTCTGGAAATGATTGTTGACATCCAAACTGAAAAAGATGGGAAAAAAACCCCAAAAGAAAAGTTATATGCAATTCTGTTATCATTAAAATATAATGGAGTACGTTTTTACCTATACATATAAAACTTTTCTTGCTATTTTTTGGGTAGTTTTATGATTTTAGAGGATTACCTGAAAGTTTGCAGGGGTTTGATAAGCAGCAAATTCCAAATTATTACTGTTACTGAATATAACAGCAAAAATGCAGTTAAAGACATAGAAGAATATGATATGTCTACAGAGACCAGAGGCTGTTTTGTAAAGCAACATCATGTGGGAAGTATATACAATAAGTCTAGGTGCAACATTGGAAGCTTTATTAGGCGTATGAAGATTTGGACAAAGAAAGAGAATTTCATCCTGCTAAACTTGAATTTTAGTATAAAACTGTTGAGTCACTGTATTTCTTCCTAATCTCTGGATCCAAACTTCATCTGCCAGTTTCTGCATCAAAGCATTACCATTTACAAACATTACCCTTTCACAAATGCCTAGCTTCAGGAGATTGGACAACTGTTTGTCTGGAATGGTATATGGTCTCCTTCTCAAGAAGAGGGTTGGGCTAGAAGACCTCCAAGGCCCCTTGCAGCCCCGCTATTCTTCGTTATTCTTTGTTCTACTTTCCACAAAAAAATATTTTCTGCATCAGAGTTCTTTTTTAGTTGAATGCTACATTTGTGGCCCACAAGGGAATACTTGAAGAGATGTGTGGTACGGCACGTGTGTTTTCAAATAGTACTCAAAACATAGCAAAAAGATGATTATCATGTCACATGTTAGACTGGATTCAATCTCATGTCCATGTATTAAAACCTAAAGATGGTATTAACTCTTGTGCCTTTGGGATAATTGCTGATTTTGATTTATGTTTGTGTTGGTTTCATGGAAAAATGCATAATGCTTGAACTTAAACTGAAAGTTGCAATAAAAATAAGCAAGGAGAAATGCTAACTGATTTCCTTCAAAACACATTAAATGTATATGTGTCTCAGTTTTCAGTTCCCCATTCACAAAAAAGGCAGGTATATTTACCCTCTACGTAGCCCAGTAACTCTGTTGTCCCCTTACAACTGGGGGAAGGAAGCATTATTTTCCCAACTTGGAAGTAACAATAAATCCTCAATATGAATGCCTTTTTAAAGACCTGCGCTGTATTGTTAAATTTATGCAATCCAAGCAATTCAAGTTAGAGGTTATTACCGGACCATGTGATAATGATATCCATAAATTACTTCTGTAATACAATTTATTAGAATCTTCTCTTGGAAAAGAAATTAGTAAGTACAAAAATGTTCTTGTTCCCTTCAGGTAGTGGGTCTGACACTGTCTCAAAGTCTTGATGATCTTGCTCTTATTTATCTAGCTACAGTTCAAGCCATTGCGGTAAGTTGAATAAATTTTCCCTAAGATTTGAAGGAAGCTTTCTTTTCTTGGGTTCATAATATGTTATTTTTTGTACAGAAAATGACTGTTGAAATTCTTATATCTATTGTGAATGGAGAAAGTGAAATAATTTATCTAAGGCTTAATATTAACAATGCAGTAGTATTGAGGGTTTCTTCCTTTTGTTGTTGCTGCAAAGGATGGCATTGGTATCCTGTAGAAATAACCATCAGCACTAACATTTCCCACAATAGCATAGCAATAGCATTTCAACTTATATACCACTTCACAGTGCTTTACAGCCCTCACTAAGCGGTTTACAGAGTCAGCATATTGCCCCCAACAATTTGGATCCTCATTTTACCCACCTTGGAAGGATGGAAGGCCAAGTCAACCTTGAGCCTGGTGAGATTCGATCTGCCAAATTTTAGTCAGCCACCAGTCAGCAGAAGTAGCCTGGAGTACTGCACTCTAACCACTGCACTGCCACAATGGCCTAAACCTAATATTATTCTGTGGAGCAATTCAGACAATATGTCAACTGCATTTTTTTTTTAAAAGAGGGAAGTACAAAAAGAAAAGAAATTTCAAATGAGCTTACATTTGTATTTATGTTGTCTCCTCTCCAAATCTGTCTTCCCATATAAACTGTCCTATTCAACAGGGGAAATTTCATTTGAAAGATATGGAGTACAGTGATGTTGGTTATGTCACAAACAGTAGTGTGGACTACTGGTACTATTGATTGATATGTTGTACTTGATTTTTTTAGGAGGCAGCCTGGCTGTACATCTGGAAAGCAGGTTTTTTTTTTACTTCAGGCCAAGAGTTTAGGAGCTAAAAAGACAAGAAAACTATTTCACTGATTTTTCAAGATACTGTTGCATATAAGTAGTTCACTTCTTATGGCTGAGAAAATTTCAGTGGCCATTTTATTTTTCTATTCAACAAATGGCAAGAGGGAAGGAAATGATGAAGGCACATATTATTAGCAGATAGTAATTAATTAAATTTTCCCTTTCCTTGTGGAATAAAGTGGCAGCTGATCCTGTGATCTTCCAATACTTTTCTAATATTCATTATACATCACATTTCTAAATAACTTTAAAAAAAAGACATTCCAGGATATGGTGCATGCCAAGGATTAGCTTCACTATAGATTTCTGGCTATTGGCTTTTTGCTGGAACACCAAACTACACTAATTTGGACTCAGTTCAAAATAAAGTTTGTTTTTTTAAAAAAAGTTCTTCTGGGTAATGCCATGAATGTCCTATGGGGTCTGTTGGGGACTGGATGGGACTGAAAAGGACTCGGAGTCAACTCTAGCGAGACAGAGTGGCTGTCGGTATTTGGATTCCCCAGAGACAAGGATTTCCATAGTTGGTTTTGGATGGAGCGGCACGGCCCCAAACAGACCCAGTGCACAACCTGAAGAGACCTTCTGGGCTTGTGGCTCCTGCTCAAAGAGCAGGCGGCAGCCATATCCAGGAGGTTCTTTGCACACCTTTGGGTGGCGTGTTAGTTGTGCCCATGCCTGGAATGGGTGGCCATGCTCTCAAAATTCACACCGTTTTAATCTCCAGATTAGACTACTGGAACACACTCTCCGTTGGGCTGCCCTTGAGGATCATTCAGAAACTTCAATTGGTACTGAAGGCAGCCATGTAGGTTGTCACTCGTGCCAGATATACGGAACATGTAATATCATTCCTATGTGATGAGCTGCACTGGTTACCATTGTATTCCTAGGTGCAATTCAAGGTGCTGGTGGTAACTGTAAAGCCCTAGATCTGTGATGGCGAACCTATGGCATGCATGCTGGAAGTGGCACGCAGAGCCATGTCTGCTGGCACATGAGAAGTTGCCCGGAAGAGCCCCACTGTGTATGTGCATGTGCTCCCTGCCAGTCAGCTGATTGTCGGGTATCTGCCGCATATGCGTGGGGGGAGATGCATGTGTAGGATATGCGCGCATGCACAGAGTCATGAAACGTGCAGGGGTGGTTGTGTGCACATGCACAGAGACATGCGGTGCGGGGTCGTGCACACATGTTCAGAGGTGCGCGGTGCACACTCGGGATCACCTGTGCATGCGCAGGGGTGGGGGGAGTCACGCACACATTGCATCATGGGTCAGGCATGTGAGCGCACGCATGCACATGCACTTTTGGCACGCAACATGGAAAAGGTTAGCCATCACTGCCCTAGATGGCTAGGGACCTGAGGGATCACCTTTTTCAAGAGTTTCTACCCATCCATTTAGATCAGTTGGACATGGGCATCAGTTGGACTTGGGATCTCATCAGTCAAAGAATATTGGCTGACAGGCAGTAGAAGACCATCTTTTTCTACATCATTTCCTGCTCTGTGGAACATTTTTCCCTTTGGAGATTAGAACATCCCCAACCCCATTAGCCTCCCATAAAGCTTTAAAGACCTAATTGTGCTCCTGAACCTGGGATGCTACTGTGCCAAGGACCCCACCTCCTGGCTATGTTATTAAAGGCCAGATATTTTGCTTTTGTATGCACTTTGAATTGGACATTTTAATGTTTTGACTTTTACTGATCTTTTTTTACTATTTTACTGGTTTTAAAATATTAATTGTAATATACACTGCTCAAAAAAATAAAGGGAACACAAAAATAAGACATCCTAGATCTGAATGAATGAAATATTCTTATTAAATACTTTGTTCATTACATAGTTGAATGTGCTGACAATAAAATCACACAAAAATTATCAATGGAAATCAAATTTAGCAACCCATGGAGGTCTGGAGTTACACTCAAAATTAAAGTGAAAAAAAAACACCACAGGCTGATCCAACTTTGATGCAATGTCCTTAAAACAAGTCAAAATGAGGCTCAGTAGTGTGTGTGGCCTCCACGTGCCTGTATGACCTCCCTACAATGCCTGGGCATGCTCCTGATGAGGTGGCAGATGGTCTCCTGAGGGATCTCCTCCCACACCTGGACTAAAGCATCCCCCAACTCCTGGACAGTCTGTGGTGCAACATGGTTGGTGGATGGAGCGAGACATGATGTCCCAGATGTGCTTAATTGGATTCAGGTCTGGGGAATGGGAGGGCCAGTCCATAGCATTAATGCCTTCATCTTGCAGGAACTGCTGAAACACTCCAGCCACATGAAGTCTAGCATTGTCTTGCATTAGGAGGAACCCAGGGCCAACCACACCAGCATATGGTCTCACAAGGGGTCTGAGGATCTCATCTTGGTACCTAATGGCAGTCAGGCTACTTCTGGCGAGCACACGGAGGGCTGTGCGGCCCCCTAAAGAAATGCCACCCCACACCATTACTGACTCACTGCCAAACCAGTCATGCTGGAGGATGTTGCAGGCAGCAGAACATTCTCCATGGCGTCTCCAGACCCTGTCACGTCTGTCACATGTGCTCACTGTGAATCTGCTTTCATCTGTGAAGAGCACAGGGCGCCAGTGGCAAATTTGCCAATCTTGGTGTTCTCTGGCAAATGCCAAACGTCCTGCACGGTGTTGGGCTGTAAGCTCAACCCCCACCTGTGGACATTGGGCCCTCATACCACCCTAATGGAGTCTGTTTTGACCGTTTGAGCAGCCACATGCACATTTGTGGCCCGCTGGAGGTCATTTTGCAGGGCTCTGGCAGTGCTCCTCCTGTCCCTCCTTGCACAAAGACAGAGGTAGCGGTCCTGATGCTGGATTGTTGCCCTCCTACGGCCTCCTCCACATCTCCTGATGTACTGGCCTGTCTCCTGGTAGCACCTCCATGCTGTAGACACTACTCTGACCGACACAGCAAACCTTTTTTCCACAGCTCGCACTGATGTGCCATCCTGGATGAGCTGCACTATCTGAGCCACTTGTGTGGGTTATAGACTCCGTCTTATGCTACCACTAGAGTGAAAGCACCGCCAGCATTCAAAAATGACCAAATCATCAGCCAGAAAGCATAGGAACTGAGAAGTGGTCTGTGGTCACCACCTGCAGAACCACTCCTTTATTGGGGATGTCTTGCAAACTACCTATGCTTTCTACCTGTTGTCTATTCCATTTGCACAACAGCATGTGAAATTGACTGTCAATCAGTGTTGCTACCTAAGTGGACAGTTTGATTTCACAGAAGTGTGATTGACTTGGAGTTACATTGTGTTGTTTAAGTGTTACCTTTATTTTTTTGAGCAGTGTATGTTTTGAATTGTGAGCTGCCCAGTGTCGTTTGCTGAGATGGGCAGCTAAAGAAATCGAATTAAATCTGATCAATCAATCAATAAACAAGTCCTGAGATCACAATCTTAAACTTCAGTAATATTCCATCTTCTAAATAACATTCTCTCTTCCCCAAATTCCTGTCTCAACAATATAATATAGTGCTTCCATTATTGCTTTCATAGTCTATTCTAGGTCACAACAACATGATACACATCATGAATTTTGTAATTGTCATTAGTCACAACACCATGTGATGTCATTTGCTTCATCTTCCTCATATGTGGACATTTATAATTGATACAACCTTGCAGATGACTATAAAATCTGTTACAGAGCTTTCGTTTGTCATAATCAAATAGCTTCTGTTCTTTGCTAGAGTGCCCCACAATATTGCTCTGCTCAGTTTAGCAATGAGACCAATTTCTTGAAATCCATTTGCAGAGTTTTAACACTTCCCCGGACACAAACAGGATGTTTTTTATATAGCTAGGATGTATATCTGCTAATCTTATTATTACTGTTCTTTGATAGTACAACAGTGGTGTACTTTCATGCCACTCTTTTCGATTTAAATAAAAAATGCAAATCGTTTCTCAGAAAATGTGAACAAGTAATATTATCTTGTGAAAGACTACAATACTTCTTTGCCAAACAAGCACTCTGGCATTATTTTATGCTAATGAGGTGGAAGTTTTCTCAGTTGGGTATCCTGGGAAATCCATCTATTATTATTATTCAAGTGTTTCTTTCTCCTAGATTCTATAGTGCTTTGAAATTAAACTCCCTGGTCCCTCCTGTGTTATTTTTTACAGAGGTACTGCATATATAATGTAACACATAATAATCTGAGTGGGGGAGGTTATTACTCACCAATATACAGAGCTGGTTTTTAGCACTGGAGCAACTAAAACAATAAAGAAAACCAATGGATCAGGGCCTGCTATTTTTTGTAAAATTCAGAAAATATTACTTTTAATGCTTAAGGGCATTTTGGAAATATAACTTTCTTGCTTGGAAATTAGCCACTATTTTATAGGAATAAAAATATTACAGTCACACTATATTAACTTACAACTGTGTACAACCTCAGACCACATGTTGTTTACATGTATTAAATATCACTTAAACTTTCTAAAAGCTCATCTGTTTTCTTTCTAATAAGGGATTTTGCAGGAAAGTGGCATTTGCATATCTCTTAGACTGCATAGTTTTCCTTATACAGGTAATCCCCGATTTACAACAGTTTGTTCAGTTACAGGACTGAATAAGTGGCTTATGATGGTTTTTTCACACTTATGACCATTGTAGCATTTCCATGATCAATTCAGATGCTTGGCAACTGACTCATATTTATGACAGTTGCAGTCCCAGGGTTATATGATCCCCTTTTGCGACCTTCTGATAAGCAAAGTCAATGTAGAAGCCAGATTCACTTAACAACTGTGTAACTAATTTAACAACTGTAGTGTTTCACCTAACAACTGTGGCAATAAAGTTTATAAAATGAGGCAAAGCTCACTTAACGAATGTCTCAGTTACCAACAGAAATGTTCTATTGGTTCAGTTGTGAGCGTAAGTTGAGGACTATCTGTAGTAATGTATAAGATAATGAATCTATATTAATTATATTGATGTGAACTCAAAAAAATGAGTTAGTTTCACCTTAAACTTTGCTGTGACCTTTTTCAGGCAAAGGTAAGGATAATTTTAGTGGTGTCATAGTGCAGAGAAGAAAAACAGAATAACTAGGTTTGAGATGGGGAAAAAGTTATTTTTGTGTGTGTGGAGATATTATAAATATTAACTTCAATTAATGTTACAGATATCTAGATAAACATGGGTTGGTGGAATTCTGAAAAATATCCACAGTGCTCTCAAGTGGTAAAATTGCAGTAGTTAAGAATGAAACCATTCACAATCTCAAAGCAAGAAACAATTTTAAAAAGTGAATATCTGTCCTTTAGTAATGAAAGTAATGGGCATAGGATAGTTTTCCTCAGTCTGATAATCTCTAGAAGAGCTGAATTACATTTCCCATCATCCACATCTAATTAACATATTGTATGTCATTAATTGTATTGTGCCTTTCATTAGCTGCCCTTGCTAATGTTAAGAGTTTGCCAGACCTACCTATCTTAAATCAAAATCCCCGTGAAACTTAATCAGGATGAAATAAACAATTGAAGCTTAACTCTGCTTTTCTTAAATATTCCAGCAAAGTCTCTACAGGCATTTGCAGTACATTGTAAATCTTACAATGAACTTTGGCCATGCTTCAGAAGATGTTCAGTGTTAAATGCTGAGAGAATTCTTTAGCATTATGAATTTGACAAAGGGTAGATTTGGCAGTAATGTTACTTTTGAGGTTTTTATTTTCTTTCAGATGAAATCCAAAAACCAATTTTAAATATACAGTTAGTGTTCAAAGGGTTTCTCTGCATGAGCTGGAAATGCGAAACAAAAATCCCGTAAACCCATTTAAATGTTTATTTCTGTTGTTTTAATTTTATTTTACTTTTTCAAAAGGTAAGTCAAAGGTTAGAGTTGAAAAAAAATGCTCTTGATCGGAGCTATTACAACTAAATTGATTTCTAAACAAAAACGTATTAAAATGGATACAAAAGAGGGATAAAAAATATGATTGCTGTATGTTTAATAATGTTAATTCCTGTATTTCTTCAACTATTTGAGGAAGAGGATGTACTTCTCTGTATGTTTTTCTTATAAGCTAATGTCTGTCTTACAATTAATCTGGAGACGTAGACGGACAATTTAATGTCAAAAACAAAAATAAATGCAACATTATAGTCACTGTTGATCCCATCTTTTAAAAAACTCTTCTTTCTTATCAGTGGAAATAACTATGGCTTTTCAGCTTTTCAAAGAACCATTTTACCTGTACCACTTTTTGTTAATAGATATTCCTTTATGTTCTGTTGCATTTAAGTTGGGAGCCAGGCATATTGTTGAAACAATGCAAGTCGCAGGGCATCATATCAACACTCTCTTTATGTGTGGCGGTCTGAGCAAGAACCCTCTCTTTGTCCAAATGCACGCGGACATCATTGGTAAGTTTCAGAATACAGAGGAAGAAATCTGCACTATACTGAGTCTAGTTCCTTGGCTGAAGAAATTGCAGGGTGAATATTATGACACGTTCATAACAATAATCAGCAAATAAGTCATATCTTTCCAATATAGATAGATCCTTGACTTGTAATCATTTGTTTAGTGACTGTTCGAAGTTGCAATGGGACTGAAAAAAATGACTTATGTTTTTCACACTTACAACTGTTGCATCATCCCCATAGTGATGTGATCAAAATTTGGATGCTTGGCAACTGACATGTATTTATGATAGTTACAGTGTCCCAGAGTCATGAGGTCACCTTTTACGACTGTTTGACAAGCAAAGTCAATGGGGAAGCCAGATTTATTTAACAACCCTGCAACTAACTTGACAACTGCAGTGACTCACTTAACAACTGTGGCAAGAATGGTCATAAAATGGAGCAAAGCTTGTTTAAGAACTGTCTTACTTAGCAACAGAAATTTGGAACTCAATTTTGATCATAAATCAAGGATTATCTGTAGATTGGGATTCTGCCATTGCACATTTTACCTTTCCTGGTTAATATTAATAGTATCTCAGTGTTTCTTTGGAAAAGTTAAAGTCATTAAGCTGAACCACAGCTAGATGCAAGTAGGATAGATAAAAAAATTTCAATGAAAAAAGGGACACTTGCATTCGACTCTCAAAAAATCTGAGAAGAGCTAAAGTACAATAGCAATGCCTACATTTTGTAGCACTTAGCATAGCATAGCACTTAAGACTTATGTACTGCTTCACAGTGCTTTACAGCCCGCTCTAAGCGGTTTACGGAGCCAGCATATTGCCCCCAACAGTCTGGGTCTTCATTTTCCCTACCTCGGAAGGATGGAAGGCTGAGTCAACCTTGAGCCTGATGAGATTTGAACTGCCAAATTTCAGGCAACCAGCAGTCAGCAGAAGTAGCCTTGCAGTACTGCACTCTTAACTACTGCGCTACTGGGGCTTGTAAGGAGAATCTTCAGGATTTATCCTTTTAGATAGTTCTGATAGGCATAGCAATAATTATAAATCGTGTTGAAATTGATGAATAAGTCTGATTCAATCAAAAAGAAATTCCAATGTTCCCATATAAAGATAAGTAAATATCACTAATTGAAATAACTCATAGTACACACCATTGTGGAATGATATTTCTGGTGCTTGCCCAGAAATAACAGTTGCATTTTAATGATGGATTATTTCTTAATAATTGGTTGTAAGTAAATGAATATTTTTAATTTTTCAAGTAACTCAACCATGTAAACCATATGTTGTAGGATTTAATATGTCTATTAATTCAAAGTAGGCAAGGAGTCACATTCAATTCATAATATTCAGCATTTGCCATTTATCAAATACTAAACATACATAAAATTGGCACATTTTAAATCAGAAGATGTCAGTAGATTCACTTTTCTGGTCAAAATGTCAATAGCACTTAGAGCAAATTACCTGTCTATAAGAGGAGATCCTAATTCACCTAATTTGTCATTTTTGCATGAGTATCTTTGGATATATCTTGTGGTTAAAAAGAATACATATTTCACCTGTGGAAAATGTATTTCTATGGTTGGGATTAAACACAAACCATGAACCATATGAGTCCTTTATTCTTCAGAGGAACCAATATGTTTTAGATCAAGCCTAAAGCTTGGGCTCTGGGTATTTTGCTTTTAGATTTGCATCTCTTCAACATCAAACCAGGAATTGAGATCAAAATCAGCATTAAGTAATTACATTTCTTGAAAGCAGAAAAAGTGAACCAAATGATATAAGGTCTTGACCTGGGCTAAATATACACAACAGGCTGTTGCCACAGTGGTCTTTTCTATTTGTCCAATGTGATTTCATCAAGTGCGCACCTTTTTCCTTATCTAATTCAAATAGCTTTGGAACCAAGAGCTCCTTTCTGATGTCTAAAATTAAAGATCTATTAATAGATAATTCTGATTAAATTTTAAACTGGGGTCCTTTGACTGTATCTAATAGCCAAGCAGAAAGTTGGACAAAGAGGCCTTTCTCCAGCTTAGGAATTTTTCCTGATTGTAGGAACTGTGATTGACATAAGATGTCAGAGTTCATCTGACTAAAATGCTCTTGGTTTTCTTGCCCTCATTAAAATCTATCTGATAAAATAGTTAACATTCCTCTATCAATCCCCTATTCTTCCAAGAAAAGACAGGGAAATACTGAATATATTACTGTTAAATTCAAGTGCCCATTAGCCAATTATACGGGCTACCAATAGATAATTTCATAGGCCATTTAAAAGCCTCAGATTAATATTGTTCAGAGGGCAAGATGAATATATTCATTGTTTGAAGGCACTTATAGTGATGTGAAACATAAGCACCAAGTAAATAAAAAAATACATTTATAGCACGACAGCTACAAAGTCAATTTATAACTTAGTTCCTCCACAAGGTTAAACAATAGTATTTTGTCAAAATATTTTTTACATTGGAAAACCAATTAATTTCATCTATGCATCCTGAGACAGTATTTATCACTACTCAGGGGTGAAATTCAAAATTTTTCCCTATTGGTTCTGTGGGCTTGGCTTGGTGGGCGTGGCTTGGTGGGCATGGCTTGGTGGGCATGGCTTGGTGGGACTCGGTCTCTAAAAAGAAGAAGGCGGACTGGTGTGGGCGGGGCCAACCGATTCAGATTGTCCCTACCACCTCTCTGAACTGATTCAAATCGTCCCTACCACCTCTCGTGAGGTGGTTGAATTTCACCCCTGCACTACAGGTTTCTTGACTGTTTCCACATTGAATTTGGCTTGCATTTAATGCTTAGGGCACACCAAGAAGATCATACCAAGAAGCCATCTCAGCCTTTAAAAGAAGCAACTGTTTTAATATTTCAGGGAGAGGTGTTTCTTACATGCTTCATACCTCAGGCCCTTTAACTGATCTGTTGTCTTTGCCCAGGCATGCCTGTTGTTCTAGCCCAAGAAGTGGAGTCTGTGCTAATGGGTGCTGCTATTCTTGGAGCCTGTGCTTCTAAAGACTTTGCTTCCCTGCAGGTATGTAATCATAGAAGGTTCAAATTGAATACAACAACTTGAACTCTATTTTGCTCTATTCCACCTCAGGCACGTTATAATTTAGAAGGGGAGAAAATGCAGGTTTTGATCATTACAAAAGCCAGAGTTTTTAGCCAAATTTTCTGTTTACGGGTTGATTGGTTGGTTAAGGTTAAATAAGGTCATGGAGCACATAAGTGCTGTATAATATGGCCTAGTTGTTCAAGGCAGAGAAATTCAGCATAGAATTGGAATTATTTTTTATTGTTGAGACAATGAGCACTTAATTTTGATGCATCATTAGCAAATACTGATTTCTGCACTGGGAAATTAGTAGACATTCTAATTTATGAAGTGTTGACACATATCACTGAGTGAACATGCAGAATCAAGAAGAGAAATGAATTAAATTTGCCATTGAAACAAGTGGCAATAGTAACAACCAGGCATGATAATATAAAGAATTCTGATATCACTGAAGCAAGTAAATGTTTTCCATTTGTTGAGTCCAGCATGTTTGTAAAGGTAATGAAAAAGACTAATTGAAAATAACTAGCCTAGGTCCTTCAGTGGATTAAAAAAAAAATCCTGGAGACATAGAAGAATAGGTATTTATAGGTGTTTTCAGTGTAATAATAAATAATAATCTGTTTGTGCTTATACTCTGTGGTAGACTCCTAAATTATTTTTCCTCTGGATTGTTCTTCTGACAAAAAGAATGTGCTTTGTCTTTAAATGCAGATGGACTGTTGAATCTTGTCTTTATGGGCTTGTTCTCCTATGTTGTGCCATGAGTTTTTGAAGTGGTTGTTTTATTTCCCCAATGCAGTGAGACATGTGCAGAACAATGTTTGTAGAACATTGTATATTAAGAACAATTTCCCATAGTCTCTTACTTTTGCTTCATGAATATCATCAAATTTCTTCTGCTTTGACAATGGTCTGATCCTCACTTTCTTAGGAAGAAGTCCCACTGACCACAGACATGAATATTTTAATAACTCATAGCAGAGATTTGTTTGTTTGTTGTGGTACAATTATAATTGCTTTACCAGCTTGACTTCTAAGAAGTAATTGTGGGACAGTGGTTAAACAGAAGGCAATAATGAATAGAAGCTGTTTATTCCATTCAAGTTCTAACCCAGTCTCAAGTATAACATTCTATATATGAAGTTCTATTACTAAAAAAAAGCAAATACTATTTGCTAGATTTCATCTCGTCCTATTTAAGTGATACTAATATAATATTTGTTTTAAAAATATTTTGTAGTTCTTACTATACATACATGTTTTTCAGGTTTTTTTTTTTAATTGTTCATAGATGAAATTATTTAAATAGATGAATTATTTCATCAACAGTGAATTATTATCAGATTTTTTTTAGATGGAGTACCTAGATGAAAGATATAACGTCTAATAAATCATTAAATAAACAAAAATGTGAAGAAAGGATTCCCTGGTGAATTATACTCCATTTGACAGAAGACAATGTCACCTGAGTAGTGCAAATGGGTGTGGAGCCTTCATGGAACTGTTGAAAAGACTATGTTGTAGACCAGAGATAGATGATGTTGTATCCTGTTGAGAGAGGGATGTTTTGTTTCCCCAATGTACAGATCTGCACATGTCTCACTGCATTGGGGAAACAAAACAACCACTTCAAAAACTCATGGCACAACATAGGAGAACAAACCCATGAAGACAAGATTCAACAGTCCATCTGCATTTAAAGACAAAGCCCACTTTTTTTGAAGACAGCAAAGTCAACATTTTGGACAGAGGACCTTTGGTCAAAGGGGCCATCTATGTCAAAATTTAACAAACCTCTCTCAGCAAAGCATCATCTATCACCAGTCTGCAACATAGTCCTTTCGGCAATTCCAAGAAAGCTCCACACCCATTTGCATTATTCAGGGGATCCTGAGGACACAGATAAACCTCCAGTGGCCTCAACGATTTTCTAAAAGAATGCAAATGACCAGCTATCTGCAAGGAATATAAATCCTTCCATTCCCCACCATCTAGTTAAGAGCTGGAGAAGCTTCTTGGATAAGGAGCGAAACATCTTCAAAGAAAAACAAGAAAGTCCAGGTGCCTCTTGAAAAAAAGAATCTTTGTATTCACTGTTGTTTTGCTATATTCTTCTGGCTGTATGTTACAAGGAAAAAACGAAGGGTGAATTTTAAAAGCATATAGTCGAGGTGAATCATTTTCAGTTTGAATAGTGTAACACAGTTCTTACTTTAACAATGCAGTTGGGTCATATGAGTCAAATGCATAGCATTTAAATGGAAATATATATGGTCGAGGAGGGGTCTCTTTATTTGGCAATCTCCCAGTTTTATTGCTCACCATAACTATTTTTGACAGAGGTTTTACACTTGAGGGCATGATTATTATGGGTATATAAAAGCCATACAGTTTGTTTTTCTACTGTATATTAATCAGAACAATTGCCTTATGGAAGCTAATGATAGCTTTCTTTGTAATTTCATTTGGACTGGCCTTTGCTAATTAAAGTAGCAAAGACCTACCTACAGAGAATAGGCAATATTGCTCCTAATTTTTTTTTTTGAAAGAGTGAAATAGCTGAAGTGCAGAATTATATTAAATGACAATTCTATATTAATAAGATGATTATGGCTTGGTAACGTCCTTCCTCAAACCTAGGTAGCATATCAGTGCTGCAATAATAAACCTTTTCCTCATTGTGAACCACCGATACTCTTCTGTTAAGTTATTATTATAATTTAAAATAGTTAATAATAGTTTTCTCCTGTGAAAGGATGCTCAGTGACAGTGGCAATTTGGCTTGTATATATAAGAAAGCAAACAGATCATCCTTTAAATTTCAGTTTATGAGCCGTGCCTTGCCTACAATAGGTTGTAAATGCAGAGTTTCTCTGACAGCTGGTAAATGAACAGCTGTTGCTCTTCTGTGGATGTTTCCAGCTCTTTCAGGAAATGACATTGCCTGAAATTTATCCAGTACAGGTGGTCTTCAACTTATGACCATGACTGAACCAAACATTTCTGTTGCTAAACATTTCAGTTGTTAAATGAGTTTTGCATATTTTACAACATTTCTTGTCACATTTGTTAAATTGAATCACTGCAATTGTTAAGTGAATGTGGCTTCCCCATTGACTTTGCTTATCAGAAAATTGCAAAAAGTGATCACATGACCCTAGGACACCGCAACCGTCATAAATACATGCCAGTTGCCAAGCATTCAAAATTTGATCACATGACCATGGGGATGCTGCAATGGTCGTGTGAAAAAGTCCCTTTTTTCAGTGCTGTTGTAAAAACTCCCCTTTTTCAATGCTGTTGTAACTTGGAATAGTCATGAAACAAATGGCTGTAAGTCAAGGATTACCTTTATTGGGACTTCTGTGTAAATATAAATATAGCACATTTTCCCTGCTTATATTCACTTTCTAATTTTTGATTAAATATTGGATTACATCCACTTGTTTGGTGACTGTTCAAAGTTATGATGGCATTGAAAAAAATGTTATTTACAATCTATCCCTGAAGTTCCAGGTGTCACATCCCCCCTATTGTGTGATCATAATTTGGGCAATTGGCAACCAGCTACCACTTATGAGGGTTGAAGCATCCCACAGTCATGTGATCACCATTTGCGACCTTCCCTTCCTGCTAGCAAAGACATGGGAAGGTTGCAAGTTGCTCCCATAAATTCCTTTCTCCTGGGTAACTCCATTATGGAATATGAGATCTTGTACTACATAGCGGCTCTCTGCCTGCCAACACTCCATAGCATGTGGCAAATCCCTGCAGCCAACAGCCCCACCCTTGGCACATCCCTGCCGCTCACAGCCCCATTGGCATGTCTGCATTTTCTAGTGCCCCGTGTGGCCCTTGCCAGCCCACTCAAACTCCTTACCATCCACCTGTGGCCCTCACTAGCATGTCTGAAGCTCATGTCAGCCAACCATTGGTTGTAAACTCTTTGTGCTAGATTGCTGAGGCATTTCAGTGCATATTTGCACAACATCATGGGATCATTCCTTTACCTATTGGGAAAACCTTGCTTTAGATGTGGCTAAACAGCCCTGCTATGATGCTCTTCTCCATGTAAAATGTGGTTACTATGGTGAACCATTGCTAGTCACAAAACACCAGACATTGGAAGGCAAAGTGATGGCAAGGTGAGTCATTCTAGCCCCTCCATCAATATTAACCTTTCTTTATTTTTCTGATTTTTTTTTCCTTTTAGAAGATTATCACTTTTACAACAATGCATTGGGATGTACTGTAGTTCCTTACTCTATTTTTCTTAGAAGACCTACAGCAGGACTGTCAAACTCCCGGACTGTGGGCTGGATGTATCATGCGCTGGCCATGCCCATGCTGGGTTTAGCGAAGTGGGAAAAAGTCCAGATACGTCACATGATGCCACCATGATGACATAAGTTTGACACCTCTGACTACAGAGCCTTTGTGGAACCAAAGGATTTTCTTGGATGTAAAGATAATTCTGGAAGCTAGTATTTTGATAAAGATTTTTACACATTTAAAGAGGGGCTGGGATTCTGATGGGCGCCAAGGAAGATATCTATAGTCTCCTTGATGTTTGTGGTTTCTTATGTGGTGCAGCTAGTGTATATAGGGTTTTAGGATAAGGGTAGGATTGGGCGTGTAAGTTTGATCATCCTCAGCTGTGGAAATTTAATGTGTGACCTTGAGCCAGTTACTGTGTGTCTCCGCTCAGTGATAAAATGAAACAAGCAACTTTGAACTTCTGAAGAAAAAGCAGAATCCAGTATGTAGAGGAGACAGACACTCAGAAAACCAGTTTTATGCCTTATGTTTGCAAACCCAGCCAAATATAGTTTGTGCAACAAACTAAGGTTTATTTGAACCTAGTCATCTGGGCAACAGAAGCTTAGCAACTGTTCTCCATTGTAATCTGAAGCTCATGTTGTCTCCCACAGAATCTAGTAGTTACAGTAATCCGAACCAGAATTTCAGCA